GATGAAAGGGGGGAGGCCTTCAACGGCCTTCAACGAGATGGATTGAGACAGTGGCTGCGATGATGGGCTCAAGTATAGCAGGGATCATGGAACTGGCATGGGATCGGGCAGTGTTTTGTTCTTCTGTGCATGGGGTCACTATGAATTGGAAACGACTCAATGGCACCTAATAACAACAACACACACACACACATATATATATGTATGTGTGTGTGTAGTGTGTGTGTATGTATATATATATATATAAACTCACTGCCACTGAGTCAATTCCAGTTCATAGAGATCCTTTTAGGACAAGGTAGAACTGCCCCATAGGGTTTTCAAGGCTGTAAATCTCTACAGAAGCAGACTGTCTCATCTTTCTCCCACAAGTGGCTGGTAGGTTTGAACCACCAACAGCTGGCTTAGGGACTGAGAGGAAGAAGATTCCACTCCTATCAATAAACCATAGAACCTGAGATCCAGTTGTTCTTCAGTGAGACAAGTCACCCCATCTCCACCTCATTCTCTGAGAATTCAGCTCTCTAAAGTCTTGTGCAAGATAATTTTGGCATCATCAGCCACTGTGTTAAGGAATTTCAAATGTAGAAAATAGGTTTTCACAAACTGTAAGACAGAAGATGTGGGACCTCCATTCACTGAGCAGTAGGATTCAACACAATTTTTGGCCTTTTCCACTATAACATCATCTTTCACAAGTGAAGGAAAATCCAAGGACTTCATGGAGCTTGTAAGCTCCTGCACAGATGTGCCCAAGTTCTGGGCAATCTTTTGGATGGATTTATCATCCAAATCAAAATAGCTTCGGTAAAGGTACAAGCATTTTTCCTGCTCAGACAAATCAAAGCCATAGATGAATGGCATGAGAGGAATGAAGGACAAAGCCGATGTCTTCAGGGCATCCAGCCAGATCTTCTGCTTGAGGAAATTTCTCTTCATCTCAATGGCAGCCTCAGACAAGCAGGGCAGTAGGAGCACAAGGGTGTGGCGCTTGTGAGCAGGGAGATCCTTTAGCAGTGTCTCCTCCAGCCTTGGGAAATCAAAGTCAGTCATGTCAAAGTTGGAGACCAAGAAGGTGTCTAGCTCGGCCACTCCAATGTCACTGAGATTTGCCAGGCAGCTGTCTCGAATCTGTTGAAGTACTCTCTCCTTGTTGAAAGACTTGGGTTTGCTTATCTCTTCATTATATAAATCATCGTCCACTTTAGTTCTCACGAAGTAGAAGTTCCTCCCCCTATTCTTGATTGCCTGTGCCAGTACAGCATCATTGTTTTTGAAACGAGTGGAAGAAATAATTATGAAGAAGTCATAGTCATCAAATCCCACTGTTTCTAGATAAGTCTCTGGAAGGAATTTGGGGGTCCCAGTTCCAGGCAGGTCCCAGAAGGTCACTTTGGGATATTTTGGATGTTGATAGGGAGTTTTCTTCATAGTAGTCTCCACAACACCAACATCAGCAGACCCCTCATCTTCATGACTCAGCCCTCGAAGGGCATTGATGAAACTGGACTTCCCAGTTCCAGACTCCCCAATAACAGCCACATTCAAGGGAGCATTCTCAGCTTCCACAAGTGATTCTTGAATCTTGTCAACCATATCCTTTAACTTCCCCTCTTTAAGAGCTGTTTGAATACTATTGAGGGTTTCTTGAGAGAGCATGCCTCCTGCCTTACTGATTAATGTGGAGTAGTAAGGTAAAAATTCAGAAGACAACTGTTGAAACTTTGTTCCTGACAGGAAGGCTGAGATGAACTGATCCATGGCAATTAACTGTAGGAGATCTGGGAAAAGTAAAGAGAATATGGAGGTCAGGTGAATGAAACAGCAGGACATAAACATATGGTTGGCATGGGACATGAACTGGTTGCATGTTATCACATTTATCCGTATTACTATTACAATTCCCAGTTGCATAGTATCACATTTATCCATATTAGCATGACTAACTTATTTTTCCTGATGACTTGATAGAATAAACTACTATTTTCTATACTGATTATTTTTATATCCAAGGAGTCAGCCTCTCAGACAGTATATTAGACAGAATAATGGATCCCAAAGTTTCCATGTTCCAATCACCAGAGCCTGCAAATGTTACCTCACATAGCTAAAGGGACTTATCTGATGTGATTATAATTACAAGGATTTTTTATAAAAAGTAGGAAAGAAAGTCATGGGCAGAAGGGGGATATGGGATGTTGAAAGCAGAGGTTGGAGTGATGTACTTTGAAGATGGAGTAAGAGGTCACAAGAGAACAAATGTGGGTGGCCTCAAGAAGCTAGAAAAGACATGGAAATGGATTGTCTTCTAGACTTTCCAGAAGGATCTAGCCTGGTTGGTACTTGATTTAAAATCATGAACATTCATCCCAGTGTCCTGACTTCTAGAACTACAAGAGCATAAATTTATGGATTTTAAGCCACTAAGCTTGTGACCCTTTGCTATAGCAGCAATAATTAACCAATACAGACTCTGTGGTTTTTTGAAACCTCAACAAGGAGGCCAACACCCTTACATTCTATAGTAAAAATCCCTCAGGCCAACACAATAGTGAGTTTAGAAGATTTCCAGGCAGACTTCACTTTCCTCACTACTTAAATAATTTCTTTTAGAATGATCATTATGAGGCCAGTCTCTACGAGGTGGAGGTTAAAGATGTCCCAAATGTGCAACTTTTCCAAACTGCCATGCCACTCCATCATCTCTGACATCAAATCCTCCTTCTCCCCTTGGTAATCTCCTTCTTGTCTTAGGGTTCTGTTTGTCACCGTAATGTCTCACAGAACTCATAAAGTTCCAAGGAAACAGCTCACATGGTGGTGGTGAAGGCTGGGAGACTAGCAAGTCCCAGATCTGTGGGTAGGTCAGGAAGATTCTCTCAACTCATGTGGTTATAGGGATTGTTGAACCCAAATGGGAGGGTCATATGATGGCTGCCGTCTCAATTCCAGAGGTGAGACATCATAAAATTGGTGATGACTTGAGTCACACCCTCCAGCAAGGCGAGACTCAAGATGCATCCCAGCCGAAACAGGCATAGAGACTAAGATTTACAATACATTACAAAATGGAGGATGATGGTGGTGGCCAATGGCCTTACAGTCAGGCAAATGGGAAATTGGACTGTTAAGGGAATACCTGTGTGGGGCATGGACCTATGGAAAGCACTCTGGGAATTCAGAGGGCACAATACAGTAGGCCATGTTGATGCTCATCAGAAGAAGCCCCTTCCTGGATTCGAAGGCAATTGGAATCAGCAAGTGGACATGTTGACACACTCTCTTGAGGTGGCCAATTGGGCCCATGAAATGAGTGGACATGGGGTACTGCAGCAATGCAGAGATAGGCCCATGAAAAGAGGGGACAAGAGGTACTGCCGCAATGTAGAGATAGGTGGAATCTAGACATATCCCTCTTGCACCCTCTGAGGTACAAAATGCCAATGAGCACTGAATTTGTCTGTCAGCAAGAAAGACAGAGATTACAGATGGCTGTAGGGTACAGTCCCCCAGGGGAAGGCCCTGCACACAGCTTGCAAGCCAGTAATATAGGATCAATGAGGCTAGTGGCTCCAGGTGGCTATAAATGGGTCTTCACAGGAATAGATATTTACCCTGAACTGGGTTTTGCTTATCCCATGACAGATGCAAATGCCAAAAGCACTATTAAAGGATTGGAAAAAAAATACTGTACCAATTTGGGCCACTAGGTTATATTTGCTCAGACCAAGGAACACACTTTATAGCCCATAGGGTGCAGCAATGGACCAAGAAACAGAATATTAAGTGGACATATCACGTTGCATACCATCCTCAGAGTAATGGTTTGATAGAGAATTGGAATGGGCAATTGAAACTTTTGTTATCTAAAATGGGGGGAGATAAAGGCCTGAAGGGATGGTTCACATACCTTTGTGAGTGTGTGCTCACATGCTACATGAGGAGGAAGTGAAGGTAGGTGTGGTAGTTAAGTTTGTGTGTCAACTTGGCTGGCCTTGATTGAGTGGCTGGGCAGCTAGATGTAGTATTCCCCATGATGAGACTGGTAATCAACTCCATGGTGAAATCTACTGTGAGCAGCTGAGTAGCTGCTCTAGGGATGTGGTCTGCTTCCTGTATATAAGGAAAAGCCTTGGGGAATTGTTTCCAGCTTATGACACACTTGAACCCTGCATGTAGCCGTGTGGTTGCTCAGCAGCCTGCCATGCTCTGCTGACCTTGGGACTTTCAATGGACTTAAATTAATGGTCTGCTGTGTGGTCTGGTAACATCAGGACTATGCCATTTTCTATGTCGACCTTGGGCTTGTTAGCCTCAGCAGCCAGTAGCTGCCTAAGTGAAGAGATGCCTCTAGCTTCAGTGG